TTTTATATATTTCTATTAATATTTAATATATTTAGTGTAATTTGAACTTTTGATGTGTCTTATGTTATTATTCATGTTGTTGTATATTTTATTTATCCTTATTGATGTTAATTTATTTTTTAATTTTATATATATTTTAAATATTTTTATTATTATTTGTTTATATTTTATATATTTATATTAATTCAATTATTTTTTTATATATCTTATGTATATTTTAAGTGTTTAATTCTGTTTCTGTTTAATTTTTATATATTATGTTTATTTTATAGTTATTTTAGTATTTATATAAATATTATATTTTTTAATGTTTTGATTTTATTTTTTATGTTTTTATTAATGTTAAAGTATATTTTATATAATTTATATACATTTTTATATTTTTTCGATTATGTTGAAATTCATAGAAACATGGGCGCATTCAGAGGAAATCTCGAGGTTTACATTTCAGTGAGATATATCATATTTTAAGAGAAACAATAGAAAAAACCCTAAATGTAAATATGTGAACTAGGCTTTCATTTAGTTTGATTAAGACGAAAATCAGGATCTATAAGAGCATTCAGAATGTGTCTCCAGGTTTCCATTTCAGTGAGATATGTTAAATATTTAAGGAGGAACTATGAAGAAGACCCTTAATGTTTTTATGTCAATTATGCTTTAATTTAGTTCTATTAAGCTGAAACTCATAGGACCATAAGAGGAATCAGAACAATTCTCCAGGTAACATTTAAACGATATATGTCAAACATTTTAGGAGAAAATACGGAAAAATCCTAAATGTCCTTATGTGAACTAGGCTTTACTTTAGTTAAATTAAGCTGAAATTTATAGAACCAAAAGATAATTGTGTCAGTATCGGGGTTTACATTTCAGTCAGATATGTAAAATCTTTTAAAAGAAACTACGAAAAGAACCCTAAATACCCCTATGTGAACTAGGCTTCAATTTAGTTCGACTAAGCTGAAATTCATAGACCCAAAAGAGGATTCTGCGCTAATATCCTGATATACATTTCAGTGAGATATGTAAAATATTTTATGAGAAGAAATGAAGAAAACTATAATGACCTTATGTGAACTATGCTCTAGTTTAGTTCGATTAAGCTGAAACTCGTACATCCATAAGATAATTCAGATAACTTATCCAGGATAAAATTTCAACAAGATACGTCGAACATTTTAGAAGAAAATACTAAGAAACCCTAAATATCCTAATGTGAAATAGGCTTTGGTTTACTTCATTTAAGCTGAAATTCATACGAACATAAGAGCATTCAGTGAAACTCTTCAGTTTTATATTTCAGGGAGATATCAATTATTTTAACAGAAAATACGAAAAATCCCTAAATGACCCTATGTGAACTAGGCTTGAATTTAATTCGATTAAGCTGAAATTCAAGAGATGATAAGAGCATTCAGAGAAAGTCTCCACAATTACATTTCAGCGAGATGTGTCGAATATTTAAGATTAACTATGGAAAAACTCTGAATGTCCTTATGTGAACTACGCTTTAATTTAGTTTGATTAAGCAGAAATTCATAGGACCATAGGAGCATCCAGTGTCAGCATCCGAGATTACATTTTAGCGGGATGTGTAAAATATTTTAAGAGGAACTATGAAATAACCATAAATGTCCCTATGTGAACTAGGCTTTAGTTTAGTTCGACTAAGCTAAAATTCATAGGACCATAAGAGGCTTCAATGAAATCCTCCAGGATATCATTTCAATGAAATGTACCAAATATAATAACAGAAAGTACGAGGAAACTCTAATTGTCTTTATGTAAACTTGGCTTCATATTAGATCAACTAAGCTAATATTCAAGTAACCATGAGACGATTCAGTGTATATCTCCAGGTTTTCATTTCAGCGAGATGGGTAAAATATTTTAAGAGAAACAATGAAAAGACCCTAGATGTCCTTATGTGAACTAGGCTTTACGTTATTTCGATTAAGCTGAAATTCATTGGACCATTAGTGGATTCAGTGCAATTCTCCAATATAACATTTAAACGGGATGTGTCAGAACATTTTAGAAGAAAATACAAGAAACTCTAAATATCCTTGTGTGAACTAGGCTTTAATTTAGTTCGATTAAGCCTGAAATTCGTAGGACCATAGGAGAATTCAGAGAAATTCTCCAGGATAACACTTAAACGAGATAATCAAACATTTTAGGAGAAAATACGGAAAAATCCTAAATTCCTTATGTGAAATAGGCTTTATTTTAGATCGATTAAGCTGAAATTTATAGGAGTATAAGAGCGCTCAGTAAAAGTCTCCAGTTTCATATTCCGCGAGCCATATAAAATATTTTAAGAGAAACGATGAAAGAACCCTAAATGTACTTAGGTGAACTAGGTTTTACTCCAGTTCGCATAAGCAGAAATTCAGGAAACCATAAGAGTATTCAGTGAAAGTCTCAAGGCTTACATTTCAGTGAGATATGTAAAATATTTTAAGAGAAACTATGAACGACCCCTAAATATCTTTATGTGAACGAGGCTTTAGATTAGTTCGACTAAGCTGAAATTCATGGGACCATAGGAGCATTTAGAGCCAGTCTCCGGGATAACTTTTCTACTAGATGTGTCAAATATTTTAGGAGAAAACACGAAGAAACCCTAAATATCTTTATGTGAACTAGGCTTTAATTTATTTCGATTGAGCTGAAATTCATGGGACCATAGGAGGATTCAGAGAAATTGTCCAGGATAACACTTAAACGTCATATGTCAAACAGTTTAGGGAAAAATACGAAAGAACCCTAAGTGTATTTATGTGAACTAGGCTTTAGTTTAGTTGGATTAAGCTGAAATTCAAAGAACTATAAGAGCATTCAGTGAAAGTCTCTAGTTTTACATTTGAGCGATATACTGTTAAGAAATGGATTACTTCTTATATATAGTGTGACGTGCTGCGCTATGGAGGACAACCCCTCCCTCCCCAGCGGTGACATGGCGGCATCGGAGCGCTGTCGTTACTAGGGTAACAGGCAAGTCAACACTCCTTCACCTACCCCGCCAGCGGTGACGTGACCAAGGGATGCCACGGTTGCTATGCAGCCGTAAACAACTCCCGACAGCGTTGCCAGTAACACCTGTAAACACGGCGACTAGGCAACAAGGAAGCGAGGCGTTTCCCGTTGTCCGGCCGAGGGTTATAAGAGAACTACACTGTCTACGAAGACAGTTTGAGTATAGCAGCAGTCACGGAAAGAACTGGACGCGTGTGTGATAATCAGTGATAGTTCGTGATCACTGAGAAGGTATTGGGAGTGTGTAATACAGTGACACTTATATAGCTTCCGCGTAATTAATACGTATAGACTACTGAGGACAGAGTGGACAGATTTGTGTGTAGGGTTTGTAAATTGTGTAAACCCGTAACATTGTTATAATTAATTGTAGCCGAGACTTGTAGGTTTTCAAATAAACCAATTAACAATCCGAACGGCGTCTTCAGTAACGAAACACGTTACACTGGTGTCAGAATTGGTTTACGAACTTGAACACGCCTCGACGAATAATTGAATTTACGAGGGCATAAAGTGTTATCTTACAAAAAGATAATGGACTCACAGCAGATGATGGAACTCCTGAGGAAAAAATGGAGGGCCGAGAGAGAAGCTGCTTTGAAAAGGTTTGACGATAGGTGGAAAGTCCGGGAAGAAAAGATGGACCACGACGAGGCAATCTGGCGAGAAAAGATAGCCGCCATGCGAGAAAATATGGGCACCAGCCACATGGAGATGGTGTCCGCATTTAAACCAGAGATAGAGGAAGAGACGATAGCCTGCCGAGAAACGACGGAGGCGCGTCAAGAAGGAGAAAAGCCGGCCTCAGTGGACACGAAACCTGCGGCGGAACAACAAGAAGAGGTCCCTGTAGACGACGCCACAGTGATACCGGTCAGTGAACCGGAAGATGAATTGATGCCGATTACCCAAAAAGAGACGGTGGCCTGCCGAGAAAAGACGGAGGCACGTCTAGAAAAAGAAGAGCCGACCTCAGTGGACAGGAAATCTGAGGCGGCAGAACAACGAGAAGCACGCGTACAAGACGCTTCAGTGATGCCTGACAGTGAACCTGAAGAATTGAGGCCGAATACGCAAATAGGGACGATGGCCTGCCCACGCCCACATCAAGAAGAAGAAAAGCCGGCCTCAAGGGACACGAAACCTGCGGCGGCACAACAAGAAGAGGTCCCATTAGTAATACCGGTCGGAGTGACGATGGCCTGCCGAGAAATGGAGGCACGTCCAGAAGAAGAAGAGCCGGCGTCAGTGGACATGAAACCTGAGGCGGCAGAAAAACGAGAGGTGCCCGTAGAAGACGCCTAAGTAATGCCGGTCGGAGAACCTTCTCTAGCTTCTGCAATTCCGTGTTCTTAAATTTGTGGAATAAAAATGTTCAATATTACGTCCTCGACCTTTAAAGAATCTCATTAAAATTACGAGGTCCGCTCCGTACCAAGTGTGCTTCACACAGCTCATGATTTTTATCGAGTTTTCTCATTTCCTAACTATTGCGTTAATTTCGTCCTCCTAGTCTAGATTAGATTTGAAGTACAAACCTAAAAATTGAATTGATTTGACCGAAGAAACCTTTTCCCCTTATACCATACATCTTTAACTAAATAAACTGCCATGTCGCCTGCGTATTCGAGGAGTATGCAGTTCTGTTTGATTTTGGATTTTAGTCTTGCCATATAAAGTGAGTATAAGGTTGGACTCAGAACACTACCATATGGTAAGCTTTTGTATGTCTAGTCTTTTAGATGTAGGCATCCAGAGTTCGCCTCTTAATTCCCTCGAGGAGACCAGGTGAAAGATGCAAGCTAACAGATTTCCTGAGGAGCCAGTCTGTCCTTCTTTGTGTCGAGCTCCATATGGGGCTCATGACCAGATATTAGTTACTGTTTGACAGTTTTTGTCTTGTCCATGTGGGGTGCCCTCTCTGACGAGAGCACGGGTCTGTCGTTTGTCGGGGGTTATTGTCAGCAATAATGTCAGTTGTCATAATGCACAATATTTACATTCTGCATGTTGTTAGATGTTTTATAGGCCGCGCCATAGCTCAAGCGGTCAGTCGCTGGCTTCCAACCGCGGCGGCCCGGGTTCGATCCCGGGTCTCGTCAAGTGGGATTTGTGGTGGACCAAGTCGCGCTGGGCAGGTTTTCTCCGAGTACTTCGGTTTCCCCTGCCAATCTTAATTCCACCAATTGCTCTACAATCACCCTCACCTATCGTCCGGGGCGGGTACAATAGACCAGAAGTGGCCGCAGTACAAGGGACTTAGTTCCACCCCACTAGCAATAAAAAAAATACATGTTTTATATTATATATATATTTTTTTATTATATATATATATCGATACCGTTTTTCGTTCGTCTTCAAACATATACCTAGCGACAACTATAAGTTAAGATCGGGAATTGCTCAAAAAACGCAAATAGGAATGTTCCACAGCCTTCCATATGCTTCCACAGCACACTTATTGCACACTTATCCGTGTTACTTTCATCTCTGCCGGTCCCTGTCTTGACGGTCTTGACCGTCTTGACTTGTGTAAAATGATGGCGCATGATTTCAGATGTTTGACTTTTAGTTTCGGTTTGTGTCCTAAGGTTGTTCACGTGCGTTATAACAACAAGTGCTATTGAGACGTCATTTTTAGCAGTATCGTGCGGAAGTCTTTGTTTTAGGGTGCGTAATCTCATTGCGTGAAAATACGAAACTCATTGTTATGGTTTTGTAATTCGGTTTGTACGTTGTGAATTAAGCTAAATATACGTAGGTGATAGATTCATTGTGCATTCGTGAGAACTTTAACATACACATAACATTTCAGGTACTTCACCAGCATATGTCACAATGTTTAACCAAAGTACTCTAGGAGCATCGTCAGGTTTTGGGGCAACCACTACCCCATCATCAGCTAATCCGATGAAAGATTTTGAGGTTACTTCACCTCCAGATGATTCCATAACTTCGCTAGCTTTCAGCCCAGCCACGATTCAACAGAACTTTCTTATTGCTGGAAGCTGGGATAACAATGTAAGTTAAAGCAACTCTGAAGGTGCATGTAATTATTAAAAGCATTTACAGGTGTGGTGACTAGGCTACAGGCAGGGCGACTGAAGAATTGAGATTCGAGAGAGAGCTTTTATTTCCCACCATATCCAGGCTGGTACTGGGATTCATCCAGCCTTCTACCCAAAGCATATCTTGGCCTGTTACACTGGAAATAAAATGGCCAGGCTTGATTCTGACCATCCTGTTACCACCCAATTCAGTGCCAAGGTTAAGAATGCAATTTCCACATCTTCAGGACATGGTGGTTTATTAAGCACAGAGGCAGTTTTACTGTTTTTTTACTTTGAGTGTCATTACCAACTAAATTCATTATTTGTGTAAATGGGACATAAAATAGTTTGGGGAATGATGAAAATACAGTGTGTTTAATACACACATTAACTAGTACAAACAACAACTTCATGATATGGTTATCAGTAGCAGTCAGTTCTAAATTTAAGTTGTGTTTACATTTGTTAATTATAAAAGATCTGTTCTATGCTTCTCAACCCTTCTCACCTGTCACTGAATTAGAGATTTATTTAGTCGCTACTAGTCCTAACAGACTGATTCATCATTCCAAAGGTATCTGGGTACCATGCTGTAGAGCTATGCCCCCAGTGCTCAATATAATTCAAAGAAATACAGTGTTGGCACACATGAACTAAGATACTTAAATTTGATAGTTGTCTAACAGTATTCACACAACAGACAACAGTACAGTTTTCCCATTATGTAGAATTTAGTACATAAAAACAGAAAAATCTTTGTCACTGGTATTCCCACCTTGTTGTGGTGAGGGGATTTAACACTGTGTTGGTAATAGCATAGCTGATGGTAGAGTCTCTCATGCTGAACAGACGAAGGGGATGCCCTGAGTATGTGAAGTCAGAACAGGTTTGATCACATATATCATGAAATATTTTGTGGATCTATACATCGACTCCTCATATGCCCACATGGCATAGTGCTTAATTGGTTAAGCACAGGGGTAACTTTAATTTACTTCACTGATGCATATTGCTAGAATATAATAGACACATTTTTAAGATATTACATGTTACGTGGCCCAGCTCCATATTGGAAGTTCATCTTAACTGGGTACCTTCATGTGCTTTATTTGTAGGTACACTCCTCTGCCAGAACTTGAGGATGTGCTGTGTTGACTTTACAAGGATGACACTTTGTGTAGCTTCCATAATTTACAAATGAATATTTTTAAATGAAAAATGTGACAAGGATATGTCTTCTTTTCAAACTAGGGCAAAGGTTCTCCAAGAGCATTATATTATCTGAGAAGTATATATGTAGGTAAGTAAAAAAATTATCCGCACTCTTGTTTTTCCAGTCCATATATACACAAGTAGGGGTTGAACAAGTACTTCATTTTTCTACATAGTCTCCTTCCTTTTTGATGCACTTGGTCCAGCAGTCCAAAAGCTTGCGTATTCCCTCCACGAAGAAGGTTTTCATTTGGTCGCGCAACCATTTATGCACCGCTTCTCCCACTTCTTTGTCCGTAGAAAATCAAAAACCTCGTAAAACATCTTTGAGCAGCCCAAAGAGATGATAGTCGGAAAGGGCGAGATCTGGGCTGTAGGCAGGGTGTTCCAGCACCACGAAACACAAATGGTTAATGGTTTCAACAGTCTGGCCGTCCTTGTGTGAGTCTTCATTGTCATGCAACAACAACACTTTCTTCGACAATAGGCCTCGGCGTTTGGTGCGAATTGCTGGCTTCAGATTGTTGGCCAGCAAATCACTGTATCTTGCACTGTTGATCGTACACCCTTTATCTAGGTAGTCTTCCAGTATAGGCCTTTTTGAGTCCCAAAAAACGGTTAGCATCACCTTTCCCACGAAAGATTGAGTCTTGAATTTCATCTTCGTTTGAGATTCCGGGTGTTTCCACGCCATACTCTGGCTTTTGGATTCGGGCTCATAGTGATGAACCCACATATGAATTTCAGCCCCTGACACACCTTCCAATCAGAAATCAGATCACTATTCTTTGTTAATCAGTGGTGCACACTGCTAGCAGAGCGGCCATGTTTACACTGTCACAGCAACAAGGGAAATGATGCAATCAAGGTAAAACTTCGATCACATGACCACAGTAGTACCAACTCTAACAATGCATGCATAGGAGGCAGTGTGACAAACCTAAAGATGTGCTATGGAGAAAGTGCGGATAATTTCTGACTTACCCTTGTATATGGAGACTGCAGATAAAATTATGAGCCAGGATAGCTTAGGTGGTATAGTGATGGGCTATGGGCTGGACAGACAGTTTGATTCCTGGCAGGGGCAAGAGATTTTTCTATACTTCACAGCATCCAGACTGGCTCTGGAGCCCACCCAGCCTCCTATCCAATGGATATCAGGGACTCTTTCATTGGGGGTAAACAAGCTGGGGTGTGAAGCTGATCACTCACCTGCATCTAATGCTAAGGTCAGGACTGGTGGAGCTATACACCAGTTCCCATATGTCTTCAGGGCATAGTGCTTAATCATTAAACACAGGGACTCCATGGGTTTAGTCTGCAAGTGAACTATACCAACTGCCTCTGTGCTCTAGTGGTCAGAGTTCCTGGCTAGAGACCCAGAGGTCCCAGTTTTGATTCCCGGCTCTACCAGATTTTCTGAGTAGTGGGTCTCAGATGGGGTTCACTCAGCCTCACGAGGATAATTGAGGAACTACTTGAATGGAAAGGTAGCGGCTCCAGTCTAGAAAACCGACATTAACAGCTGTGGGGATTCATTGCACTGACCACATGACACCCTCTATTTGCTAAAGTTGGTACTAACTTCGCCAACAAGCGGCAGTCAGTCAGTCAGTTGGTAACACGGGAACAAATTTACTTTTTTTCTACCTTAAATTCATATAAAATTATTCACCTATTCTGAGACAATATGTCTAAGAATGAATTGATTGGATTAGAATAGGGTTTATTGGCAAGCTTGTGTAGATTTAGTTAGGCTGTTCCTCGAATGGTTAAGTAAGTAGAATATTAATGAAAAATGTTTTATAATAGAGTTAATTACTGAAGTGTACAGTATAGATGTAAGGTGACTGGTCTTGACAACTGAGGTTCATTCCTCACTTTGGCTCAAGGATAGTTATGATGATAAAGGCAGTCAGAGTGTGAAGTTGGTGACTCTGCCATTTTTACTTTCATTTTGCTATATGTCTTGATGGTGATGTTTACAGACCATGTCATAGGTAACTCTAGGAAGAATTGTTTCTCAAACCAAAATTCAGCCAGTGCCTCTCCTTGACCCCCCCCCCCTCCTCCTTGCATGTTTCTAGTCTGTAGGTTTGAATGTTTTGTAGGATGAATATATTAACTTGTATGATCTCAAATACATAGACTGGAAGGATGTGTATTGTATTCGTCTGGCTCAGGATAGGGACTGGTGGGAGGCTCTATTGAACATGGTCATGACTCTTCAGGTTCTGTAAGGTGCTGTGAACGTCTTGAGTAGTTGAGCAACTGTTAGCTTCTCAGGAAGGACTCAACTCCATAGAGTTAGTTTAGCTAGATAGAGTAACTTATGTAAATGTCAAGTGCAAATCATTTAATAACTTGTTTCAGGTTCGATGTTGGGAAGTGGAACAAAGTGGGAAAACTATCCCCAAGTCCATGCAGACAATGCAAGGTCCAGTCCTGGATGTGTGCTGGAGTGATGTAAGTAACAGTTTTTTATTGTGGAATGAAAGGTTTTGGAAGATGAAGTTACAGCTCATGTGTACATTTATGTTAGTCCTCCAGTGCTGTGACACTGATGTTGTGGCTGCTGTGCTTGTAGACCGTGTATGTTGCTGATATGGGTTGTGGTGATAGGGAAGATATTGGATAGCTCACAAGTGTTTATATAATTCACTCAGATTTATTTAATTTCTACACTTTAGTCGTTCTGTAGGCTAAATCAGTGATTTTGCCTGCAATATACATATTGGCAAACAGATGATGCAAACCAGCAAACTTCTTGTAAGTCACACATCTGCAGGTGCATTAAATGTTTAGATCTCAAGGCTAAAACCGAGTATGAGAGCGCTGCCAGACATTTGTAGAAGAAAAGATGCATTGGTGTAAACGATTTTTTTAACAATATAGGTATGCAAAGTTTATATGAACTTAAAACATACAGCTTTTCCGGATATAATATTAAAGAATCACAGCCAGTATTCTGTTTTCTACATCATTATCCAGTTACTTCAGAAGGTTTACAGATCATTGTACAAGTTTTGGGCATCTGTATATCACTTTTCATTGTACTGCACTACTTAATCTTGCATGATGTGTACAGCATTTCTTGACCAAACATCTTCAGGTGCTTATGTTATGAGCATGTGAAATGTCTTTGTTATAACATGTGTAACATATAAAATCCATCAACTCTTATTGCTATGTCAAATTTAATACTGTTTCTGAAACAGATCTATTAGCAATAAGGATTTAAAACATAAAAAAGTACATATTAAGAGAGTGTTTTTGCAGTCACGTCAGTGTAATGAAGGATTGTTACAGTTAAACATGTATAATATTTCTTACGATTTTAGTTCTTGTGACATTATTACCTTTTTATAAATAATGATCAGTTTCACACATTGTAAAATAAGATAGACATGGACCTTAATGGCAGCAACATGAATAGTTTAAAGAGGAAAGTAAACTAAATATATCTTTATATTTCAGTAGTACATTACAAATGATGTTTGATTGATAGTTTTAGTCCTTTGGGTACAGTATCCTGCTTTGTGAAGGAAAGATGTCTGTGCTTTTTTGAATTTATGTAAAAATCCCCATGTCAGATAAAGAGTCTAGTGCAGGCTGTGCACTCTCTGGATGTCAAGTGTATTCTGTGTATTGGTCCCATAGGAAGGACTGTCTGTGCCATCTTGTAAACTATTGTCAAGGTCTTTGCTCTAGATGTGGACCTCCACACTTATACCTCACAGAGAGATGGGGTCATGTTGGTCTATAGGTCATTTGGCACCATCATTCTGAAGATATCTGCTTTTTGGAGGGTACACCTGATGGGAATTGTAGGGTCCCCAGTTTTAACATGTGACCATACCGTAAGCAGATGAAGGTGCCAAAATGTGGTGTGTGCATCATAGTATAACATTAAGTGGTGTGGATGGATCAGTTCTGCAAAAATGGAACACTGTCATATCCCATAGAGAATCAAGTGTCAATGTACATACTTTTAAAGAATCATATTTTCTCTGGTCAGAAATGCTTGTGATGTTAAGTTAGTTTGACCAAAGATCATAAACTGGCAATTAAATGCTGAGCACCAGTCATGATCATACATCTCACTTGACACAAAATAAACTCTCCTAATCATACAGCATTGTTTAATAGTACAGGCTTTAAAGGAATATTGAATATTGTTTCATATCTGAGTTAAGGTAAAGGTATCCGTGCTTAACTAATTAAGCACTATGCCATGAAGGTGTATGGGGGAGTGGCTGTATGGATCCACATTTTCTTGATCTTGACACTAGTTGGAGGTGAGTGGTCAGCTTCTTGTCCCTGCTGCTTTACCCCCAGCCCCTGTTGCTGAAGCTTCTTTGGGAACGTTGTTGCCACAGGTGGGGTAAAGGTGGCTGCAGCGGCTCACTGTGAATCACCTTGTAGCAACTCTGAGGAAGCAGGTGAAACGTAGCCTCACCTTTCGTAGTTGAACGACTGCGATGTTCCGAAGTATGTTATTTTGAGCGCCACTCAGTTGGAGAACATGAGACTTATTACAGGGCTGTTAAGTGGGCCTTGGTTCCAGCAAGGCAGCCAAGAAAACCCATGACAAACTTATAAACATTCACACTTTATTTAATTCAGATATTTACATTATTAGTAACACTTGGATAGGACTGTATGTAGTCCTGTGCTATCCCAGCTCCATCATATCTGAGGTGTCTGTACAAGAAACAGTTAAATAAATGGGGCATTGATATTCTTGAGAAGCAAATAGTCGCCTACCTGATGAAGACATTCTGTGCTGTTCATGGAGCCTAAAGGTTTGCTGTGTTTACAAGTTCCCTGATATTGTATACTATGAATGAATTCAGAGGAATAAATATTGAGCTTTCTTCATCTGTGCATTTTCAGGATCATTTATATTTGTGAAGTACTATGGTTTTTGCCAATAATTCTGTTTTAATTGTAAGTTTTGTGCATTTACAGGATGGAACAAAAGTGTTCATGGCATCTTGTGACAAGATGGTGAAATGCTGGGACCTGAACAGCAATCAGACAATTCAGGTAGCAGCACATGATGCTCCTGTGAAAACTTGTCACTGGGTGAAAGGACCAACTTACTCCTGCTTAATGACTGGTTCCTGGGATAAAACTCTCAAAGTATGTCCTTTCACATAAGAGAAATCCTTACATCAGGGTTTAATACTGCTTTACAAATTATATTCTTTGAAACAGAGAGACAGTTTATGCATGTAACAATACTGTTTACTTTAATTATTTTTATATACATTATACATGTTGGTGCTCCTTAGAGGCATTTGCAACTCTGTGGAATGCTTGTAATATTTATTCAGTCCATCTGTACACATGAAAAGCAACTTAGGAAATTTTGGGCAATTTTAAATTTCATTTAGGTCAGACAATTTTAATGACCACATATTGTGAAGACCTGCATTCACATCTATGCATATCTTGAGCTTAATTTGCTAAATATTTATCAGAGTGAAAAAACTAACAGCTAAGACAGTCTCTCTGAGCTTTTGGGAGAACATTGCTGTATCACTGAATCAGAACAGATGGTTTCTGGTGTAATATGTTAATTATAACCACAATATTAATGTTCATTACCATTGTTATTGCTTTTGTAATTGTTATTTTCACACCATATTACACAATATCCTGTCCATGACCCAAGATAAGACCTTGTGCCTGTAGCTTTTCTTATATTAGCCTCACGAAAATTATATTTGCAATTGTTTGATTTCCAGTTCTGGGATACCAGAAGCCCAAACCCAATGCTGACAATCAATCTTCCAGAGCGCGCTTATTGTGCAGATGTTGTAAGTACTAAAGGGCTTTATATAAAATATGCTGTACATACACTCAACTCTCGATTATTCGGGATAATGGTGGGGATGGAAAACACGATTAACCGAAAACCCGGTTAAGACAAATTTTATTAAAAGTAGTACTGTAATACTGTACCTTCATAATACTATAGGCCTACCTGTATTTAAATTTATTCAACCTCATTTTTATGTCATCTCATGGCCTATTTAATACTTTTTTTACATTACACTGAAGCATGAATTAGTTATTTCAATCACAGTGTTCAACAACATCCAACACTTTTTACGAATATTCACACTTAACAGTTGAAAAAATTTAATATTGTCGTTTGCTTTTTTGCGGAATTTTCCTTTTTACGGATATCCGTATGAAGCCTACGTAATATTAGCTTGTCACTTAATAAACTCTTCTCTTCACTCTCAAGATAGTCTAGTAAGAATTCCAAATGATTAAGAGCAGCACCATGTGATACTTTCTTACCAGCAGCACTGTCCACCTCTTCCTCATTCTCACTTTCTTCCCGCTCTTGTGACTGCACCCCCACTTAACTTACGATTTCATCACTGCTTAACATTTCGAAGCCCGGCTCGCACGAGTTACTGTTGAATACTTAACACAACACGCTTCCTTTTACACCCTGACATTTTGCTAACGCA